AAAAAAAAAAAAAAAAAAAAAAAAAAAAAAAATTATGTCTATATTAAAAATCTAACAGTTTTTTTTTTAACTCCCTGGAAAAAGAAATTTAAATAGCAAAAAATTACATTAAAAAATTAGACTGTCGCTTGCAAATGGGCACAAAAATATTTTGATTTATTTTTGCCTTCAAGTAAGGAGTGTTTGAGTACTTCAGTTTTCCAGTATGATTGTTACTTAATTAAGTTAAAATGAAATCTGCGAAATAGTTATGTATGTTTTTGTTTTAATATAAGTTTTACAGATTACTTTTTTTAAATTTTAATAGAAGTTTTACAGATTACAGAATCAATTACTTTGATTCTATCCTAGGTTCAGTAATCGTTTTTCGAATATAAGTATTTCTAAAAGCTTCTGAGAAGTATTTCAAGGCCGAGTGCTGTGATCCCAGCACTTTGGGAGGCCAGGGCAGATGGATCACATCTGAGATCAGGAATTTGAGACCAGCCTGGGGAACATGGCAAAACCCCGTCTCTACTAAAAATACAAAAAAATTTTAGCTGGGCATGGTGGTGCATGCCTATAATCCTAGCTTCTTGGGTGGCTGAGGCATGAGAATCACTTGAACCTGGGAGTTGGAGGTTGCAGGGAGCCGAGATTGTACCGCTGCACAGCCTGTGTGACAGAGGGAGGCTCTGTCTTGAAAGAAAAAAGAGAAATGTATTTCAGCTAAGTGTTCTAGAAAGGTGAAGGGGAGTTTAGTAAATATTATATTTAAAAAATGAGAGTAATATAGTAATGTGGTAAAAATATTTTCCCCAGAGACAAAAATGTAAATGTAAAAGAGAGCCATTTAAAAAGTCATTTTGCAGCTTGGCCCTCCTATATACATAACATAAATTGTCTAAAAAATTTCTAAAATCTCATTTTGGAAAATTAATATGCAGCAATAACGTTGACTTTATTTTTTCCAGATATGGCCGTGTGGAAAGTGTCAAAATTCTCCCCAAGAGGGGCTCTGAAGGAGGAGTGGCTGCCTTTGTGGATTTTGTGGACATCAAAAGTGCACAGAAAGCTCATAACTCAGTCAACAAAATGGGAGATAGAGACCTACGCACGGATTATAATGAACCAGGCACCATCCCGAGTGCTGCTCGGGGATTGGATGATACAGTTTCCATAGCATCTCGTAGTAGAGAGGTTTCTGGGTTCAGAGGAGGTGGTGGAGGGCCTGCTTATGGTCCCCCACCGTCACTTCATGCACGAGAAGGACGTTATGAGCGGAGACTTGATGGGTAAGTTCCAAGGTTTCTGTAGGCAGGTATTTTGTATTTGATATGGTGAGAAACAGAAACTCATATTTAGGGGCCCCAGACGGATTTAAAGTTTTGGGCATTCTCAATGTTTCCTATTTTGGGTTGGAAACGGAAGTGATTTCTATCCCAATGGCTGTTATCTTATGGAATCGTAGAGGATATTTCCTGCAGCTGATTGGATATCTGTTCCTGAGATATAAAGTGGTGGAAGATTTCCTGTGGAAGCATCATTTTTGGAGTTACCTGTCTTCTAGAATTAATTATTCCTTCTCTTGGATAATGTTAAGTCTTTCCTTGGATATATCCCTTCTACCTGATGGAGCTATTTGGCTTTTGTGTTCGTACTATATGGAATATTTCTGGAATATAAGAGCCTACAGATTCTTTTAGAAGTTGATATCTGCCTCTCCATTTTCACTGCATAAAGTGTACAAACAAATTGGATTGTCACAGAGAGTCTAGCAGACCGTAATGATTCAACCACTTGGATTCTACAAACAATTCTTTAACATGGAAATGTGTACTTGGATGAAGAGAGAAGGCAATGCTTGATTTTTCCATTTTGGATCTACACAATCTCTGTATTGTTGGAATTATACTCCTTGATGGAATGGGGGAAAAATGAAATGATGGACGTTTCCTAAATCCTGGAATATAGCGATTCTTTTCTAATTGCTGGGATATATGGGATGTCATGCTGTCAAGACTCCACTAGCCCAGGGAAAGAGGATTACTATATCATTTCTTAAGCAAGTTGCTGTCCAATCAAAGGTACTTTAGCTTTGAACACATGGTGATGATCAGTTGTGGATACAGCAGTCAAAATTAACTGGGCTGGATGGCTACAAAAGTGAACTCTTGGCGAGCTACTGTGCTTCCTCATTTGTTGGAATTGTAGAGGATATTTCCTCTTCTGCCAGCTGCCTGATTCACACTTAGGGCTGGAAATATTTATGAATGTGGATAAATTTCTAATTGTCTACTCTCTCAAGAAAGAAGTCTGGGGGTTTGAGAGTTACAGTTTGTTTGGGACTACTTGCTTCCAGTGGAATTATTTTGTCTGGTCACTAAGATTTTTTTTTCTTGTGGTTCATCTAAATATCATTTGACACCCTTGCCCATTAAGAAGGTGGATTACCCCCATAAGAGGGGCCAAAATTGGGGAAGTTATGTTCACAATTCTCTCCCTAGATTTAATTGGGATTATAGGTCGTGTTTCCACACTTGGAAAAGGTTGGTATGTCCTGACCTGTGTATATTAGCCCCTCTCCTAACCCAAGTCAAACTCTCTTTTTTTTCCCCCACTAACTCTAGAAGTATTTAGTACTAATAGCGAATCAGAGAATAGCCATTAGATTTCAGCTCTGCTAGCTCTTGTGCCTGCCTTCTGTATCTTCTTAATGGATAAAAACTTTGCATATTTATAAAATAGCAGCTGTAGCGGTAATTATCCTAGAACTTTTTTCCTATTGTTTCTGTTATATCATTAATATTGGCTTTCACTGATTAACATTTGGTAGGGTGCTAAATTAATTATTTATGGCATTTTTCTCAAAGGATACCTTCTTATTTGTTAGACATTGAAATATCAAAATTTCAGAATTGTAGTGAATAAAAGAGAAAGTCACTTAATACATTTAAGTAGGAAAGATATAGAATGTTTATCATGCCAGTTGTTTTTCACAATAGCAGCAAAAAAGCTAAACTAAGCCTCGGAGGATAGGGTTGCTACTAAGTAAAATGATGGGTGAAAATGACTATTAGTGGAGAGACCTGGAATCTAAGCATGTACTGAGGATCTAGTATTAATTATCATAAAATTTTGCCAGATACTCTTCATTGGAGATATTCTAATTCTTTATCTTTCATGATTCCTTGATCCCTTTTGATAGAAGATAGATCCAGAGATGGGTTGAAGAGAAACTCAAGTGAAATGGTCTTTTAGGAACTCAGGAGCTGAGTTCTACTTCTCTACGAAAGTAGAGAACTTACAAATTTTTTTTTTTTTTTTGAGATGGAGTGTCGCTCTGTCGCCCAGGCTGGAGTGCAGTGGTGCGAACTTGGCTCATTGCAACCTCTGCCTCCTGGGGTCAAGCGATTCTCCTGCCTCAGCCCGGGATTATAGGCGCGCACCATCATGCCTGGCCAATTTTTGTATTTTTGGTAAAGAGATGGGGTTTCACCATGTTGGTCAGGCTGCTCTCGAACTCCTGACCTCAGGAGATCTGTCTGCTTCAGCCTCCCAAAGTGCTGGGATTGCAAATGTGAGCCACTGTGCCTGGCCAGATTTCTTTATAGGATTATAATTAGTTTTTAATATTAACACATAATTGTATGTGCTACAGAAGTAGAGAATTTATGATTTCTTCATAGGATTACAATTAGTTTTTAATATTAACACATAATTGCATGTGTGTAATTGTACATGCAACATGTTTTGTACTTTTTAGGTTGACAGATACATCCTATTAAATGATTTTAGTGGGATTCTAAGTGACCTTAGAATATCTTATAGTTTCTAATGTTGCTTAATTTCATCACAGGCAATTTGAATATAGCTAAAAGCTAAGAGAACATATTTTCTACTACCATTGAGTATATACATTAAGAAATTGAATTATGAAATAGACATTTTTAAAGTCATATGGAATTTGATAGCACAAGGAGTAAAATAATTTTTATTGAAATTTACATAGAACAGCATGTGATAACCCAATATTTTGATATTTGAAGTGGCTTTTTTTGGGATATTTAATTTTTATTATTAACTGTAATTGGTCACCACTGTGCAGTCTATGTAGTCTAGTTTAGGTAGTCTAGTAATTTTCTTAGTAATTGTCCAAGCAGTCAAAACTTAATGAAAAAAGTTAAAGGTAGAAAGGTTTTTCTGGACTTCCTTCAAAGTCCTTCCTACTGTGGACATGCTGCAGCAGGGCTTTCATGTCTAAGTTAAAACGCAGCATGGAAATGTGGCCTCAAAGAAATTTGTGAGTAAATAAAATTTGGTATATACTTTAATCAGATGAACGTGAAAACAATAGTCTCCTCTTGTTCCATTAAATTTAACATGAAAAGGAGATAGTATATTTATGTATACAAGTCAGAAAATCTCTAATAAAGTGAGCAACTGAGCTGCAAAACACTAGTCATGAAAGCCCAATATACGATGAAAACAATGATTGCTCAGCTGTGAAAATAATTTTTGGAGCAAAGTAAAATGTTAAGCTTGTTAGCATTTGCTTACTAAGTAGGTTAATGCTGTTTAGAAAATGACCAGTTGCAAAGACAAAGACAATGCTGAAGTGAATGTTTGCATGACTTGCTTTTAGTTTTGCTTGCTCCTTTCTGATTAAATATTTTTCCCCCCTCCTAAATGCAGGGCTTCAGATAACAGGGAGCGTGCTTATGAACATAGTGCCTATGGACACCATGAACGGGGGACGGGAGGATTTGATCGGACAAGACATTACGATCAGGATTACTATAGAGATCCTCGAGAGCGGACTTTACAACATGGGCTCTATTATGCTTCTCGGAGTCGAAGTCCAAATCGCTTTGATGCTCATGACCCCCGATATGAACCTAGGGCTCGGGAGCAGTTTACTCTGCCCAGTGTGGTACACAGGGATATCTACAGGGATGATATTACCCGGGAGGTACGAGGCAGAAGGCCAGATCGGAATTACCAGCACAGCAGGAGTCGGTCACCACATTCATCCCAGTCTAGAAATCAGTCTCCTCAGAGACTGGCTAGCCAAGCGTCTAGACCCACAAGGTCCCCTAGCGGCAGCGGCTCTAGAAGTAGATCCTCCAGTAGTGATTCAATCAGCAGCAGCAGTAGTACCAGCAGTGACAGGTAGGTTAACAGCCTTTTGTTATAACAGATGAGCTAGCTTTAAACAAATTCTCAAAGTGGGAATGGTTTCAGTATAGTAATATTTTTAAAATTAATCTTGGATCATGTATGTATGTAATCGGTAAAGAAACTGGCATGTGGCCATTGAATTAACTATTCTTAGTACTTGAAGTTAAGTGATGATTTGCAAAGTGCTGTTTCATCCTCCAGATGCACAATATTAAAATTAAATGATCAAAGAGGAAGAGAGGTGGTGACTCTAGTTTTGCAAGGCAAATCTTGTGACACTGAAAATGTGGTATCTCTGTAACATTTTAAGTTTTGTAGGTGTATAATACCAATTTATTTCTATTATTTTGGTTGAAGGTTTGTAAAATCTGTTTGTTTAAATATATATGGGTGAAATATATTGTTGGCACATTTATTATCAATGACTAAAATTATGAACAAATTTTAATTTTAATATCAAGGTGGTAGCCAATTTATAACTTCAAGTAGAAAAGCTTCCTTTCAATGTGGGTTGTAACTTTACTGTTCTAAGTTAGAGTAAACTCATTTCACTAGTTGAGAATATCTTTCTACAAATAATTTTTTTTTTTTTAAAGACAGAGTCTCTCTCTGTCGTCAGGGCTAGAGTGCAGTTGTGTAATCTTGGCTCATTGCAACCTCTGCCTCCTGGGTTGCAGCAATCCTCCTGCTTCAGTCTTCCAAGTAGCTGGGATTACAAATGCATGCCATCACACCTGGCTATTTTTTGTTTTTTAGTAGAGATGAGGTTTCGCCATGTTGGCAAGGCTGGTCTCAAACTCCTGACCTCAAGTGATCTGCCCACCCCAGCCTCCCAAATTGTTGGATTACAGGCATGAGATGGAGTGCCAAGCCAAGAAGTTTTATTTGAAAAATGAAAATAATAAGTTGACGGTAATCTCAGTAAGGAACTTAGCCTCAGAACTAGGTATACGGATTTTGAAATCACAGATCTAGGTATATGGCATAGATTGTCCTTTAGATAATCTAGGATAAACTGCTTATGCTCTTCAGGCCTCAGCTTTCTCTCTCTCTGTCTCTTTCTTTCTCTCTCTCTCTCTCTGTCTTTTTTTTTTTTTTTTTCAGATGGAGACTCACTCTTGTTGCCCAGGCTGGAGTGCAGTGACGCGGTCTTGGCTCACTGCAGCCTCTACCTCCTGGGTTCAAGTGAGTCTCCTGCCTCAGCCTCCCAAGCAGCTGAAATTACAGGCGCTCGCCACCACGGCTGGCTAATTTTTGTATTTTTAGTAGAGATGGGGTTTCATCATGATGGCCAGCCTGGTCTCTAACTCCTGACCTCAGGTGAACCACCCACCTTGGCCTCCCAGAGTGTTGGGATTACTGATGTGAGCTATTGCGCCTGACCAAGCTTTCTCATTTTTCACAAGGACCTTAATAAAGTTATTGTGAAAATTAAAGAGAAAACTTCTTTTTTTTTTTTTTTTTTTTTTGAGACAGAGTTTCACTCATGTTACCCAGGCTGGAGTGCAAATGGCGCGATCTCGGCTCACCGCAACCTCCGCCTCCTGGGTTCAGGCAATTCTCCTGCCTCAGCCTCCTGAGTAGCTGGGATTACAGGCACGCGCCACCATGCCCAGCTAATTTTTTGTATTTTTAGTAGAGACGGGGTTTCACCATGTTGACCAGGATGGTCTCGATCTCTTGACCTCGTGATCCACCCGCCTCGGCCTCCCAAAGTGCTGGGATTACAGGCTTGAGCCACCGCGCCCGGCCGAGAAAACTTCATGTAAAATGCTTATTTTGATACCTAGTGTATGTTAAAAGAAAACATGCTGCTATTCAACTTGTTAATCCCAAATGTCCTACTTTTCATTTTAGGTGGTATATATTTAAAATTGACAGTCAAATTCTTTGACCTGATTAAAAGGCTCAGATTATTTTTCTTTTGCCTGCTTAAAATTAATTTAAGAAAAGCAAATGGTCATGTAGTTAAATGGCCAACATGGTGAAACCCTGTCTCTACTAAAAGTCCAAAAATTATCCAGGCATTGGTGGTGCATGCCTATAATCCCAGCTACTCAGGAGGCTGAGACAGGAGAATGGCTTGAACCCAGGAGGTGGTGGTTGCAGTGAGCTGAGATCAAGCCACACTGCACTCCAGCCTGGGTGACAGAGACGAGAAGCCATCTCAAAAAAAAAAAAAAAAAAAAAAAAAAGGAAAGATGCTGAGGCTGGGCAAAATAAAATGGCTTACGCCTGTAATCCAGCATTTTGAGAGGCTGAAGGGGGTAAATCACTTGAGGTCAGGAGTTGGAGACCAGCCTGGTCAACATGGTGAAACCCTAGCTCTACTAAAAATACGAAAATTAGCTGGGTGTGGTGGTGGGTGCTTGTAATTCCTGCTACTCAGGAGGCAGAGGTGGGAGAATAGCTTGAGGCCAAGAGGCAGAGGTTTCAGTGAGCTGAGATCTCTAGAAGAGAATGATGCCTTCAGGGTGGCATTATATTTTGATGGGAATATAATGGATCCACCCTCAGAATTGTAAGCCCAGAAGCTTGAACCCATAGGGGATCTGATGAATTTGATGGAGCTAATCCCTGCTTATGTAATTAAAAAAAAAAAAAAGCAGCTCTTTGCTTCTAAATACTTACACTCAGAAAGGTAACTGCTAGAAGGGTAGGATACACTCAGAAAATCTGCCCTAAATTACAGTAAAAAAGTTGATGAGCAAGAGGATTTTTGATGATTATTTTATCAAGTTATGATAGCTAGATGTATTCACTTATATACTGAAGGCTACAACCTATAGGTTTGGAGGGTGGCATCTGACCAGCAGATACATTTAATTCACCTTGTATAGTGTTTTAAATTTAAATTATTGCCAGTGTTTAAAAAGTTGGAATTTCCATCTAAAAGGCCAGATTTGGGCTCTTGTATGTTCCTTCCCTGTGATTTGCACTGTAGGACCATATCTGACAAGGAAGTAAGGTATACTGAAATTGCTGGTTGAAGACACTTTCTTTCCATGGGCTTGGGGAAGAATCACTGAGAGATTCTTGCTCTGTTCCCCTTTTCTTATGTCTGTCTAGATTCTTCCTTTATATTAATCATTATTTTTTTCCTTCTGAAGGTTATAGAGCATTTACTTAGGTTATTGGTTTCATTTCATACAGTCATGTTTTCTAGAGCTAACAGATTTCAACCTTATACATTGCTTTTAGTGAGTTACTTGAACCTCATTCATTAATATTGATTCCTTCCACTTTCACTCATGTGACAAATTTTATGTAATGATAGCTTTTTATTTCCTTTTTTTTTTTTTTAAAGACAGGGTCTTACTCTCGCCTAGGCTGGAGTGCCAGGGCACAGTCTCGGCTTACTGCAACCTCCGCCTCTTGGGTTCAAGCTATTCTCTTGACTCAGCTTACTGAGGAGCTGGGATTACAGGCACTGCCACCATGCCTAGCTAATTTTTGTATTTTTAGTGGAGAGGGGGTTTCACCATGTTGGCTAGGCTGGTCTTGAATTCCTGACCTCAAGTGATCCACCCACCTTGGCCTCCCAAAGTGCTGGGATTATAGGCGTGAGCCACCACATCTGGCCAATGATAGCTTTTTTTTTTTTTTTTTTTTTTTGAGACGGAGTTTCGCTCTT